ACTCCCGCCACAATTCCCGCCTTGTGCGGATTAGCCCTAACTAAGATTAGAGGAGGGCGTTGTTAGGAAGTAATTACTACGCTGTGTTAGAGGGTAAGCTAGATTGTGTGTTATATCTTAAAGGGCTAGACAGCGCAGTCTAGCGCCTTACTAAATATGCTCTGTAAACTACTCTATAGCGCCCTAAAAGATTTATTTGCTATTCTAAAGTAAATTTATACTTACTAAAAATTTAGTTTATCTAGCTTTAAACATTATCTTTATTAAAGTAAAGTTATATATAGGTAAATTTTTCTTTTTTAAATTACTTTCTACATATATCTAGATATCTGCATAAAAAGAAGTAATATACTTGCTACTTTTTAATATAAATTCTAGGTAGGATTTAAGCATGCAGTAAACCTTTATTTTATTACCTCTGTAACTTTCTAGCTTTTTAAGAAGATTAGCTTTATAAACTATAACTAAAGGCTTATATATTTAATATCTTTAATTAAAGTATAGTTGCCTGTATACTTAATAAGTTAAATGTAAATTATTAAATGCTTGCACACTTTAATGTGTAAGTAAGCATTGTGCATGCATGCTATGCTTATTACATGCAGGAAATTAATACTAAGCTAGGCCTTTAGTAAGATTTTCACCTATAAAAGCTTTCTAGGGCTACTGTGCTCTATTTAGTGGCAATGTGCAACAGCATTTTAGTACTAGCACATTATCCTTAGGGATATTTATATTACTGTTTGTTCTTCTATTATCTTAGCCTAGTAATGCTAAAGGGGTTTAATTCTAGTTAGCGTTTACAGTCTAGCTAGAGCCCTCTAATGTCTAGCCCTCTGCTCTTTAGCTAGAGTTCTCTGCAGTCTGACTAGAGCCCTCTGCTCTCTAGCTAGAGTTCTTTGCAGTCTAGCCCTCTAGTGTCTAGCTAGAACCTCCTACTCTTTAGCTAGAGTCCTCTAATGTCTGGCTAGCACTTCCTGCTCTCTGGCCAGAGCCCTCTAATGCCTAGCTAGAGCCCCCTGTAACTTAGTTAGAGCCCTCTGCTTTTTAGTTAGAACTAGAAGAGAACTAACTAGATTAGGCTAGAGTTACTAATAGTGTTTAGAAAGCTAAACTACTATCTTAAAAACCTTAGGTTTCTAAGACTATATTACTCTAGTTTAGTATTTAAGTGTAATTAAAAAAAGGTACTAAAGCAGAAACTAAATTGCTTATAAGTAAGTTACTTTTTTAATTATTACTAGTGTCTTCTGCACTTATAGCTAACGCTAATTAAGATAGCATAGTGTTAAAGCGCGCTTAAGTAAGTAATAAAGCTAATATTTCTAGCAGCTTAGCTGCTATTTGCATTAGTTCCTTACTACTTAGTACTAGTTATTATGCCCTGCTAGACTAATTATAGTTAATAAGTAGTCTGTTTCTTAGAGAATGTTTAGAAGAGAGTAGAATTGTAGCAGCTGTAGCTTTAGTTATATCTAAATTACTAAGATAAGTATTATAAAAGGTTATTGCTGTATTATTAGGCCTGCTAATAATGTACTAAAGAAAAGATAATTCCTAGGCTTTTATACTACTGTACTATGCCTAGTGTACTAACTAGTTTATGTTCTAAAATCCTAGCTAGCAACATTTTTAATACACGCCTCTATCTTCTATTTTAGCTTTATAGGGAGATAAGCAGATGTTTACTCTAATAAATATTCTAAGCACATTTAGCTAAGTTAAAAGCTGCTAAGGCTTATTATTTGCTAGTAGTTAAGCTTAAAAGCAGAATATAGTCTAGCTTAGGTTCTTGTACTATAGATTTTAGCACTCTCTATTAAAAATAGCTACTAGTCTTATAAAAAGCTCTAATTTTTTTTTTTTAGTTTTTATATTTTAAATTTAATTTATTTAATAGCTGCAGTAATTTTAAGACCTGCTAAGTTTTCTATTTTAAGTTAAGAGTAATAGTAATGTAGGGGATTATGTAGCACAGGGGGAAATTGCAGGATTTTAGTGCTAATAAGGCCTTAAGCGCGCGCGATCTGTGTGACACTAACAATTATCATGCATGTGCCTCTGTTAGCAGCATAGGCTTTAACAAATTTATATATTAAAGCTATGTTAGAATGCCTATTATCTCTACATAATAGCTAAAGATCTCCTCTTTAATAAGCTTTAGAAGGGGCTAGGCATTAAACTTTTACAGACTCCCCTTAATGTAGTAAGCCTACCCCTAGGTTCTATAAATCCTCTTAAGAAGCCTACAACAGACAATAATTTCTAGAATATTAATGTATCCCTAGCTAGGATTCTCTCCCTAGCTGACTTTCTACAGCAGTTAAGCTTGACGTCAGACGTCCAGCACGCTCCCCTTTTGAGCTTCGCCCAGCACGATCCCATTCTAAGCTTCGCCCAGCACGATCCTATTCTGAGCTTCACCTAGTCTGACCTAATCAAAGCTAATTTCCTTTACAACTAGCTATTCTGTTAATAATGCTTTATCTTAGCCGAAAATAATTAATCTAACGTACTTTTATTCTAAACCCTATTTAAACTTAATCTAATTAAATTGCAACTTATAGCAGACTACTAAGGAATAGCAGCACTTTTGTATAAAGGCTTAGATCTTATGCTGTTTAGAACAAAAGATTAACCCTAACTATAGGGATCTACTTCTATAAGCGTTCCTCTTAGAAGCATGCAAGAACAAGACTACTCTACACTCTATTAAATGTATGTGCTTATGCAAATTAGTGCGCTTAACTAACCTATATTAGGGTTAAGACCTTATAAGAGAAAGTTAAAAACTAGGCACACTATATTACAGCCTTTAAAAGATAGAGTTTTTATGTTTAGCAGAAGATAAACTACCTTTAAAAGAAAGTAAAGCCTTAAAAAAATTATTAAGTAAATACATTTAAAAGAGGGTATAGTAGCGTAATCTTTTTATAAATAGCTTAATAAATTTTAATTAACTTTTTTATTATACCTTTGCTATTTAATGCTTTATAAAAGTAGAAATTTCTTATGTCCTCTTAAATTTTAGAGTTTTGTCTTGTTTCTATTAACATTCTTTGCAGCTAGGCTATCTCTTTTTTAAAGTTAATAGTTTTTTTTAAAGTTATTTTATGTCTACTATTAATATACTGTTTTAATATTATTTATAAAAGAATATATTTAAGATTTATGTAGGTTTTATAATCTTTTATGTAGTATACTATTTTAGGACGCTGTATTATTTCTTACTAGCCCTACTAACTTAGTTTAGCAGCTTAGATGCACACTTTATTATCTTAATTCTAACACTTTTTAAAACTATATTTTATCTTATCTAAAATAGCCTTAAGAAAGTACTATATCTAGTTAGACAAATTCTACAGAGGGCTAGCAATTTTACATAGTAATCTTCTTTAACAATGTAATAAGGAGCAAAGATTAAGCTACTCTAATATGCAGCGCCCTAATCTTTAAGGTAAAAGTAAAGGAAGATTACTTCTTATAGTAGCTCTAGATTAAGAGGCAATGTCTATAGAAGTTAAAATAACACAAGAACAGGCTTAAATACCTATAAAACATGCTCTACTAGTTTATATAATAGGACTGCTAACAGCTAGCGTAGCAGAGAGTAATATAATAATGTTAGAGAGCATTATTGCTAATAATTTAGAATTTAAAATATAGGCAGAGACTTAACTTAAATAATCTATAAAGTTATCTTAATGCTACTAAAAGAATACTAATGTTAAGTTATCTTAAAATAATTTCTAATTTTAATTGCACTTTTTGTCTTTATAATAGTCTAACATGTCTATTATATATCTCTTCTTCTATAAAAGTGTAACCCCTTCTTAGCCTTATAATAACAGAGTAGATAAACTAGAAATTTAGGGGAAACTTAACTTAAGTAGTGACATTTAATCTAGGGTTAATGCATATCTAAAGCTGCCTTGCATAAACAAGCGCAGTCTAACACAACGTCCCATAGGAGATGTTGCATTTCAGACAGTGATACTGGTGCCGCTCTAGGCCTATAGCATGCCATGATTCCTCTGTATTTTCCTCTAACAGGCAACACACTAAACTAACAATTAGTCTTGCAAAGTAAACCTGTAAGGCTATGTAGAAGGACTCTAAGGGCCAGACGTGTACTTATACTAACGTTTTATAATTAGAACACCCTAAATTGAATTATTGCTAACGTTCCCCCCAGCGTACCGGAAAACCCACCGTGCCGGAAAATACGAGGGGTACTTCGACTTCAAGCGACTATAACTCTGTGCGCACATTAAGCTTTGCTATATTTCTTTATAAGCCATGTACTATAGCTAATTTTGAATATCTGGGATACCTCCTACTTCTAAATTACATTCGCATCGTCGCCTTCAGGCTTGATTCGCAGAGAGCCTCCTTCTATAGCGTATCAGACTTTCTTCTCCACAGCACTACTGCCATGCCCTTACTACTCAAAATTCTCGTAAAAGGGTCTTATCCAAGCCTTAGAACCTCACTCCGATGCTGGCAAGTCATGATTAGCCTTGTGCCTAGTATCGCGCGCAAATTCATACAAGGTCGCCACGCGGGTTAGTACTTCCAATCAAAGCAATTACCAATACCAGCTAGTGCGAAACGACCCTGCACGTCCTATATAATCATCACCTTGTAATTTACTTATGTCATCTAGTAAGCCAAGCTTGTGGCTGTAAGCGGCTGTGCGGACGCTCGGGATGTGAAGGTCCGACTGAGATCGGGAGTTCGAGTCCTTCCAACTAGCATAGCGGCTCCTGCCGCGGCTATAATGCTCGGCCATATTCGCGGTAGACATTAAGGGACGACTTGCATCAAAGTATTATACCTTAAAGTAGATAGAAGGGTGATGATTAAGTTAGTATTAAGACGCTTGCTGACAGGGTTCTCAGCTTGCGGGGCGGGGTAGGCCAGGTCAAGAGCTGCATTTTTCATTCCACACCGGCGGCCGTAGCATCGACAAAGTCCTACTATATCCCTTGGTTTACAGAATGGCAGCTCCGCGGAGCATACTTGCCGAATCTTCGTCGGCCTCGCAACAGCTTGGACGCCTAGTCCAAGCTCAGCTTTTGAAAGTAGGGCAGCGCACCAGTACTCGCCGCCCGGAGACTCTTGGCGATCTGAGGGCCATGGTGGACGCGCTCTCTTCCCTGTCCGATATCTGCATAACCGTCCTGGATGATATCCGCGCGCGGGGGCAAGAGAGAAAACTCTCTACGGCGGTGGAGGAGATAGAGAACGTACTTGAGTGGACTGAGCGTTCGCCTCCCATACGTTTAGTTCATGCCCTACGAGAGCTATATTAACCCGGCCTTGCCTTAGTGCTTCACGATGTTAATATCGAGACGGCTCCCTCCGATCCTGAATTCCTCTTCCGGGCACACCGGCACGTGGGCACGAGCTAACTAACGTTCGAACCAGAATCAGAAGTGCCTTTTGATCTTGAGTTTAAGCGCACCTTCTCCGTGAACAAATTCGCGGCACTCTTAGCCAAACATCTAGGCAAGACACAAGAGGAGAAGAGGACAGGGGATAGGGTAGAGACATGCTTCCTATCCATGAGTCCGGTACTAGAATGGACGGTTCACGCAACAGGGCAGAAGTGGAAGGACGGGGAAGCGGACGAGACAGTCGGCCTTGCCGTCTTCGATGCTAGGAGGCTGCGGCAGACTCCAGACCTAACCATTTTCCGTGTCTCCAACATCCTCCAGTTTCTCAAAGGCCGGGGTAAAGGGGAGCTCATCCCGCGGGGCATCCAAGAGTGGGCACAGAACTGTGATGAGTACGTGTTGATGGGTAAGGTGCACAGGGGCGGGTTACTTCGGTGGGTTCCGTGGACGGAGCTGTATGGGTCAGGATTTCTATCGAGCCGCTTCCTCAGGGCATACACCCTAGGGAAATATCGCCAGTGGAGGGACGAGGTATACGATGCTGCGGGATGCGTTGAGGCGGAAGATGTCTGTCGGAAGGTTGTCGAATTCGGGAAGATGCTAGCAGGGCGAAAGGTTAGCAACCTTCTACCACTCGTGGAATTAATCCTTAAACCGGGTTTCCAATTCTGGGAGTTAAAAGCCAATGCGTCAGAGGAGGTCGTTAAAGCAAGGGTTTACGAACTTGTTGATGAGTCGATGCTAGGGGAGTTTTTCAGGCTTAAGATATCTGGCGACTGAGAGTGTAGCGGAAGCGCTTCAGCTAGTATAGGTTAAGATATATGCTCAATTCTAGTCTAACTGTAATGATCGCTAGATACATCTTAAAGTAGCATCTGCCTTATTAAGCTTTTATTCTCTCTATATAACCTGCGCAACTCCCAGCGTAAGATCACCCCTTCAACAATACTGTCCTAATACATCCGTGCTACTGGGGCCCTCCATGGCGCTACTGGGGCCCTCGCTGGCTCTGGCACTTCGCTCATCCGCGCCACTTTGGCCTCCGGCTCTGCCTCTGGCGCAGGACTTTTGCGCTTACGACCGCGTTTTCCCTTGCTTGCGGTAGCTTTCTCTTTCGCAGCACGTTTCGCTCGTGCCTCCTCAAGGTCCTCATAGCTCATCACCGTCGCCTTCCCTAGGACCACTGATCTGGTTGATCGGCGAACTTTAGCTTCGTTGTTTATCTTGAACAAGAATCAATTTTAATCCTAAAGGAGGGTTTGTTTGGCAAATGATATTTGAGCAGCACTTGCAAGCTTCTGTATGTGCCTCTGCATGCGCTGCTTACTTAGCTCATTAAGAGCACAAGCCTCCTGTTTAATCAGATTATGCAACAACGTAAGATCCTCTGTTGTCACAGGCGTTACAGGCGTTATAGGCGTTTGCAGTACTTCGTGTTGCGGACAAGACCCCACCACCTTATTAGCTTTCGGAACAGTAAGTTCAGCAGGGGGCTTCAGTGTATGTCGAAGTACTCTCTCCGGATTGAGCAGAAACAAACCAGTCGCAGCCCACCCAGCTGTGATATTCTTCTTAGTCAACGCCCTTTCCCTTGCAGGCTTGTATAGGGAGGTAAAATGCTCCTTACCAACTGTGTCTAAACCTCCTCGATAGAGTCGTTCAACCTGGTCGCGATAGGCTGTCTTCAAAGGCGCAAAGACTCCAACATCACAGGGCTGGAGCTTGTGAGAGGTGTGAGAGGGGGGACAGCACAGGATAATGTTGTTTGCAAAGCAAAACTCCAAGATCTCGAGGGTTTCATGTGTCCCGAAGCCGTCGCAGATTAGTACCCGTGGTTTGCCGTTAGCCAGTCCTTTAGTTTGGGGATCAAATACACGCGTAAGCCACTCTAAGTTAATTTTAGAGTCGTTATATCCATTTTCCGAGTGTGCGTAATGCCATCCAGGTGTTGGGTACGTGGTCCAGTTGCTTCGGTGGGTTGAAGCTGGCCAGATGACAAGAGGGAGTAGCGACCTACCGTTAGCACTAACACACTCAATAGCAGTTATTATTGTCCGCTTGACACCTGCACCTCTATAGTCTCGTAGGTCGTCCTTACTTACAAGGACTTTGACGGAGCCAAGCATGCCTAACATAACTCCCGTCTCGTCCATGTTGTAGCAATTTTCTGGCAGAATAGCCGGTTCATTTACTACTCTTCCAATCACCTCAAACCAGTGTGTGATCTTAACGTATGTATTCTTTTTGTGACGTTTCCAGTCTATCGACCTAACTCTTCTCGCTCTGAGTTCGGGATGGCGTTTCTCGAAGGCCTGAGCCCAGTTCTTGCCCGGGGGCTTGATTGGTTTGTTCGTCGTGGACCGCTGGCGGGCGAGACTGAAGGCTAGCAAAGGTAAAAACTTTAATCAAACAGGTTGCCCAAGATCAGACATTAGTAATAAAAACGAAACAAGAGCTTTCTCTTCCTCTAGGGTAAGGTATTGCTGGCGTTGGGCTTTTTCCTCTATGGAGGGACGTCCGTGTGCGCGATAATAGACCGTAGTGAGAGGGACATCGCCTCGTTCTGATAGGGCAGCCCATGTTCTAGGTACATCTGGAGGGAGACCTTGCGCCAGTACTTGGCTGGCTCGGTCCATGGCTACGATTGTGATGGGTTATTAGGCACGAGAGACAGCCAGCACAAAGACAGGTGGCAACAAAGGCAGGTGGCAACAAAGAACGCTTGGGCTGCTAAAAATAGCCAGCACGTGACCTTTAGTAGATGATTCGAGAAGGGCGCCACACTTTGAGTCCGTTAGGCATAGCGTAAAATACAATACAACTGGTTAGATATCATTATTCGCACTACGTAAGGGCGCTAAACCCTCATGCCAAGACACACTGTAGACCCTTTCGCCCGGATAAATCCGGAGTGCATACTTTCTAGAGCTAAGTACCTTTAAAGTTTAGAGTTATATTCTTTGGTTATAGAATTATCAGTTTAATTCTCCAAAATATAAAATTTTGTAGATAGTCGTGGTGTAGCAGGGGGGTAACGCTTATGCAGTTCTAGATACTCTAAAAGGTTTGATCGACAGCATAATCAAGAGCGTTGTATTTTTTTAGCTGCACACTGGTTTCCTAGGGAGAAATATCTAAAGAATAATAATAGATTAATTATAACTTGACAGAATCGCGGGGAAGAGAGTTGCGATGCTTAAACATAGATTCTTTCCGGCACAGGGGGTTTTCCGCTACGCAGGGGGGGACGTTAGTCTATTTCTTCAATAGTACCCAATTCCTTCTTCTGCAGGAAGCGAACTAAGCGATGCACTTAGGAAGTGTTACTGCGTAGCAAATTATTAAAGCAGCAAACAAGGTACTTAAGGCGTCTTCCACGCTTTTAATTACTATTAGTGATTTTATGTTCTAGGCTCTTAATAATATCTATAATCTTATTATATTTATGTTGTACTTAGGCTTAAAATTCTTCTAGCCTCTAATTTTATTTATAGTAAGGCGTTAGAGAATCTATTTGTGTTTAGAGTTTAATTTAAAAGAATCTCTCTTTAAAGCTGTAGAGCCTGCCCTTTAGCTTTTAATTCTCTACCTTTAATAAATTAACCTGCGCAAAAAGAGCTTTAAGCTGTTTATTTATAGTCTAGGTTAGTTAGAATAGCTTTTGTTTAAGGACAGCAGAATATAGCTTTAACATAGTTAGGTTTGTTTAGGAAGCAATAAGCTAGCTTAGTATATATATAAAGGCAGGCAGATATTTATAAATAACATTATATATTCTAAAAATGCTCTTAGAAAGTAAGCTAAACAACCTCTACCTTAGCAGCAGAACAGACATTAGTAATAAATACTAAATCCTTATTTCTAGTTTTTAAAACTATGTTAGAGATTTAGTTTAAGAGGGCTTTAAATGCTGCTAGCTTCTCTTTTTATACCCTTAGTGCTTTTTAAAGCCTAATTGCCTATAGCAGCTTAACAACAATAGACTTAATCTCTATATGCAGGTTTAAGTAAGAAAGAACGCCTTTTACTAATCTAAAAAATAAATCTATAGTACAACAGCTATTTAGTTTAAACAAACCCTAGAACTTTTACTTTGTGCGCACCTTAAACCTAACTTTATAGATACTATACACAGGCAAGGGCCTATCTTGTGTTCTACAGCTGTTGGGTCCTATGTAAGTGTTCTCTACTATTTCTCTAATAGAGGCGACTTTATCTACAAAAAAACAAAGAAGGTGCTAGTAATTACAACTAAAACACTAACCTCCTATCTTTTTAAGAAGCACAGAAATGTCAGGTTCCTAGATTTCTGCTAAGCGCTGTAAAGCCTCTCTAACTTTTATCTCTAAGATGTATAGCAGCTAGAGCTTTACCTGCGTAAGTTTAGTAATAAGTCTACTTGCTTTAAAACTAACTAGGGGGCAGGCTGCGTTGTTGCATTACATTAGTGTAAGTAGATATAAGAGTTTCTCTAGAAGCTGCTATTAAAGTTTTAGCCTCTTAACTTCTATTATTTCTAGAATTATGTTAATATTAAAGAAAAAATTATGTTAGTTGCTTACTCTTACTAAGTTAAAGTTTTCCTACATGTGCTCTGCTTTTACAAGTAAGTAAGTAAGTAAAAGAAGACATCTCTTTATACACTAGAAGCCTACTTAGTTGTTAGTAGGCTTAATTAAACTAGCAGACTATGGCTATTGCAAGCAGGTTAACAATATTCTTTAGAGTTCCTAGGTTAAAAGTAAATCCCTTAAATATAATCTTAACAAGCTAGTTAGTCTAATTAGAGCACTTAAACTTATATTAGCAGGCTACAGCTAGATAAAAGAGTTCTAGGGGAGTTTTTAGTTACTAGAGTAAAGGGTCTTTTCTGTAAAGGACCCTGCAAATAAAGTAAAGTAAAAGAGCATAAAACTTAGATACTTTAATAATTAGGGTTAAAAAAGATTTAGGTCTTTCTAATAGCGTCTTAAAAACAGTAGATGCATTAGCTATAGTCTTAGATAAAATAAGCAAGTAAGAGCTGTAGTTAGTAGCTAGAACTGCATTGCCTTTTAGGTTAAAACAGACAATTTCCTAGTTTATGACAGCAGCGTGGACAATAGAATTTGCAGTCCTATGTGTGCGCTTTATAGGTTACAAGGCAGCTATAATAAACTTATAAATAGATAGTAAGAGATCTTAACTTAAGATTACTGCTTTTATTTATAGTATTATAGAAGCTAATATGAATATGTCTTATTGTCCCTAGCGCTTGCTGTGATTAAGTTACAAATGTACGTACTCTATGCAGTAGTTCTTAAACACATTGTTTAATTAGAACTGTAGATATGCTCTGTCTTAATCTTATTTACCCTATTTTTAGCTACAAAGTTCTTTCTAGTAACTGTAAAGATTAATTTGCGTTAATTAAAGGATACAAAGATAGACATTCTAATGTACAAATTTTTTAATAGTAATTTTGCTAAGCTTTAGATCTTAAAACAAGCATCTTTTTAACTAAGGGAGTGAAATATTTTTAAGTAATACATTAAAATAGCCTTAGTTGTTGTACTACTTAATCTTAATCTGCTTGTTCTAACTAATTCTAAGGCGTAGGTCTTTTAACGCTGTCGCATTTAATATAAACCTTATAATGCAGCGTAGATTGTGCGGCGTTTCGCAATTCTCTATCTAGAAGCAGAGTTGGAGCTAGTAGAGGTTTTAGAGCAACTAAGGCAAGCAAGCTAACTAGTGCTAATCTTTAAATAGTTAAATAATAATTTCTTGTAGTTAAGTATTACTTGCATTAGCTACTGCTATTATAGTTACAAAAACATCTTGTAAGTCCTAATAAAAGAGATTAAGGCTCTAGTAGTTTTACCTTTTAGATAAAGCGCTATACCCTAGTAAATTAGGATTTCTCTTATTAAAGAAATATATCTTAATCCTTCTAAGATTTTTTAGGGCTGTAAATGCTAGGGCAAGCCTTGCAGTAACTTACCTACTCTATTAAACAAATTCTTAATTAGTTTAAAGTTGTAAAAGATTATTAAATTAAGGTTACAGCCTCTTAGTAAAGATGCTAAAATAGATCTTATATTAATTAAAAACTTTAGCTCTAATCCTTAATGTATAGATACTATCTTGCAAACGTTCCTAACACACTCTAAGAAGAACGTTTAGGTAGTCTTAGTTCTAGAATATTTGCTAATCTTAGTTAAAGTGTTGTAGGAAAGCACACTAAGACATTGTTTTAGCAGCATAACAGGCTAATTAAAGGTTTGTAATTAATAGAAGGGACAGGTATAATATAATATATTAAAAAACTTTAACTAGGAGACAGAGAAAGTTTATTATAGTGTTATAATATGTGTTAAAGTGCACTGCGCAGCTGTTTAGAGGAGTTTGTCTATTTATATAATTATCTCTACTTAACATTTAGAGCAAAATTTAATCTATAAATAACTTAAATTTTAATGCAAGCGCTTTAAACCTTGTCCTAATAGCCTAATGTAACATGTGAAGGTCCTTGCTAAGTACACTAGTTAAGTTAGCGCAGTTGCTGCAGCAGGCTTAACTATACCTGTACTTTGGAAGTAGTTTATTATTATCTAGCAGCAGAAAATAAGGACGCTTCTTGCTATGCAACATTATGTTATAATAAGTAGGAGGCATTAATTCTGTGTTAGAGAGTAATGCAACTATGTTGCGTAAATCTCTAAAGGTCTTCTAAAGACTGTTTTAAATTACTACGTAAGAGGACATAAAGATTATAAAGAACATTAGTATACTAAATATGTACATTTATAGAACTTAAGTACTTAATCTTATCTATTTTTAGAAAAGAACAAAATAGGAACATAGGATCTACTATAGGAACATGCGTTCTACACAGAGGCTAATTGCTTATTAAGGACAAAGCAGTTCTTTGCGCATGAATAAAACCCTAAGTCTTAAAAAGAGAGAGTTAAATTATTACTTTTATACATAAATTTTGCAATAAGATCTTAAGTCTCTATACTTGCTGCAACTAGGCCTAAGTTAGCACATGTATAGTTTAAGATAAGAAATCTTACCTGCAATAAGTTTCTTTTTAGGCTAGTTAGATAAATAGGCAACTAAAAGTAAATAAATAGTGTGATTACCTTTATAAAATATTGCCTACTAGTTTTACCTGTATATTCTTTTAGGTTTGTAAGGCGCTTTGCAATTAACTTGCACTACTTGTAATGTAAGGTGTTAAACTCTGCATAAGCTTTTATTCTTAGAACACTTGCCTTTATCCTTAGAACGCCTGCATTTATCCTTAGAACATTTATAAAAATTGCTATCTAGATCTAGAAGGTTGTTAAGGAGAGGCTAGATAGTAATTACATAATCTTAGTTATGTTAGTTTCTATCTAGCCTAAAAAGTTTAGGGACCTTACCTCTGCTGCTATATCTCTAGATTAATACTACTTTAGTGGCAATACAGCTGTTTAACTAACTATTATAAATAATCTGCTTTACATGCAGGATTAGTGCAGCAATTCTAATGTTGTTAGCAAAAAGCACTACTGTTCCATAATCTCCTAGTGCTGACAGACTGCTGTAGGGACCATCTAGAAGGACAGGAAATAGACGCCCGCCTTAAGTATAGGTGAATTCTAGCAGCTTAGACATAAATCTGTGCCTTTTTTTAATTAATAAATTAATAAAGACTTGTTTTTTGTTTACTTGCTACTAGGTAACTATAAAGGGATAGGTTTATATTAGTAACTAGAATCCTAGCTTAGGGAGACATAACTGTATGTGCTGCCCTGCAAAAATCCTCTATAGGCAGGGTAATAGTATTTAAATTTTAATAAGACTAGAATTACTTAAGGACTAGCAATGTTCTAGATTTTAAAGAATATTATTACCTTGTGTTTTAGTTAAATTACAAGACTTGTCTGTAATAACCTAGCTAAGGCAATACTAGTATTGCAATTAAACTAAGGGGTTAGAATTATAATTATAATGTGGTGCTTTTAGGCTAAAACTTAGCTAGAACCTTTAAGGTAATCTAAGAGTTAATAGTATAGGACTTTAATAAAGGGTCCTTACTAATTAAAAGAGGCTAGAGGAAGCAAATAGACTAACACTTTTAAAGAGTGCTACTCTACTGCTCTTACTAGTAGCATGCTAATAGAGGGCAAAGGCTGCTATAAGAGCAAAATAAATGTGAACACAGAGGAATAGCTTATATAATGTTCTCCTTATAAGCAAAACTGTTACTAGAATAGTAATAGCAATTAAGGCCTACTTTTTATTAGTAAATTTATTTGTTTTAATCTTAAAGCTGTATACTATAAGGCTATAGAACATCCTTAAGTTCCTAAAGGAGAGGGGACTAGATGTAACTAAGGCTGTTGCAAGATAGAATATTTCTTCTAGTACTAAAATAAGTGCAACTAAACTGTAGAATTATGTAATGCTTTAAAAAGAGAGGCTTGCAATATTGCTTACAAGATTTAGAGTGCTTATAAAAAAAAGTAGTATAAAGTTAATAACTAAAAGTTTTGCAGCTTACAAGCTTGCTTCTTTAAGGCTCTATATCCCTACTACATTAGATGTAATTGTGCTGCTCTAGTAGAGTACTTAAAGGAAAACTTTATAGTATAGTAAAGGAAGAATAAGATGTAACTAAGGATATATAAAGTTTTAAAACACCTAATATTAAAGTGTTAATGTGTAAAAAAATTCTCTAGCTATAGAAAGAAATTAAATAGTAAAAAGAATAACAAGGATGCTACTAGCAGTAATTAAATAAAACTAAGTAACCTCTATAGTTTGTAGAATAAAAAAGCTCTAAAAGGTGGAATATAAACAGCTTTAACATTCTATATATAGAACACCTTAAATAGGGATATAGAAGTTACTTAGTAATATAAAGGCATATGCTATAATTAATGCAAATCTTTTAACTTCTATAACAACAGAGCTTTTAGGCATTCAGCTTTAAGATGCAAATTATAAACTAAAGAGAAGGGAAAAAGATTATATGTAAGCTTTATTTTAAAAGAGATGCTCTACATTATTTTAAAAAGCAGATTAAATACATAGAAACTGTAAAGCAAAGGTTTATCTTCTAGTCTAGTATTGCAATAAGTTTTATCTTTACAGCTCCTTAGAAAGTAACAAGTGGCCTCCGCAGAAAGAAGCACTTGTAAGTTTAGCAAAAGTTTAAAGCAGACTTATTAACAGTTAAGAAGGAGAATAAGATAATACTAGTAGACCCAGCAATTAGTCACAAGAGACGGCAGTGGAAGATTCCTGCCGCAAGGGTATGGCATTCAGAAAGTGAGGGAAGTGAATGTGAAGACCAGGGCATTCTATCTCTACCTGTCTTAAACTATTCTTTAATATTTAAGTAGCTAAAAACAGAAATAATTTACATATTTGTACCTGTCTTCTAAGAAGAGTTAGGCATTCTGTGATAAGCATATGCTGTATTGCGCGCAATAGTAATAACTTTTTAAAGCTTAGAGTTTTGCTAGCAAGAGCTTTAACAGCGCTATTATAATTAAAATCTATTTTATATTTATAATTATTAGGTTTACAGGGCAATTAGTGGGGGGCTGTAAGCATTGTAATGTAGCTAGGGTTTTATAACTACCTATTACTAAGAAACTATCTTAGCATAGTACTAGCGCTAACTAAAAACAGTAGAGACAAACATTTATGTAAACTTGTCCTAAAAAGAGCATAGTTAGTAGGATACAGCGCCTAACTAAAAACAGTAGATTGTAAACATACTTAAAAGACTATAAAAATTTAAAATTGCTTATAGATTCTACTAAAGATGCTACTATTAAACTGTCTAAACAAGTTTTAGATTACGCATATCTTATCTCTCTTAAAAGAAGCATTAATTATTTTAACCTTTGTTTTTAACCCTACTAGCACTAGTCCTTGCAATAGCGCATGTACATCTTTTACTAGTATTATCTAAAGTCTTTTACTTACTAATGTATAATAATAAATATTGTCTTAAGCTATTATTACTACTAGTAGCTTTTCTTTTTAAGCTTAGTAGTGCTTAGAGAAAAGAAATATGCTCTAGTCCTTATAGCAGTACAGAATAAGCAGAAAGTGCTAGAGAATTGTCCCTAACTAAGAAGGGATTAAAATAGCAGGGATTTTAAAAGGACTATAATTATTCTGTAAAGCCTAGAAGTTTTGCAGTAATTGTAAGTAACTGCTCTACCCTTCTGCAGATTTAGAGTTGCTTTGCTAGTTTCTAGTAACATTAGCAGCTACTTGCTGCCTAGGTGTATTCTAAACATCTAACATAGTGTTAGCCTTATGCGTAAGGGGGATGTTCCCCTAGTTGCAGTTGTCTTAATTATCTTCCTAATTACCTCTCTAATTGCTTCCCTAGTCCTAAGTGTCCCCCTAGTTGTCCCCCTAGTTATTGTTCTTCTAGTTGTTTCTCTAGCTGTCCCTGCCTCCCTAGTTTTCCTTCTGGTCCCCCTAGTTGTCTTGGCTGTCTCCCTGATTGTCCCCCTAGTTGCCTCCCTAGGTGTCCCCCTAGTTGCCTCCCTGGGTGTCCCCCTAGTTGCCTCCCTGGGTGTCCCCCTGGTTGCCTCCCTGGGTGTCCCCCTGGTTGCCTCCCTGGGTGTCCCCCTAGTTGCCTCCCTGGGTGTCCCCCTAGTTGCCTCCCTAGGTGTCCCCCTGGTTGCCCTCCTAATTGCCTCCCTGATTGTCTCCCTAGTTGTCCCTCTAGTTGCCTCCCTAGTTGCCTCCCTAGCTGTTTCCCTAGTTGCCTTCACTCTAGTTATTATCTAGTAGAAGGAAATTTCTAAAAAAGTTTGTGTTATATAGGTAGAGGTACCTAAAAAAAGAGGAAAATATGTCTTAGTGCACTAAGAAAGAGCTAATGTACAGGTGTAGTGCACTATCTTAAAGTCTATACATATAAGGTAGGAATAGATAGTTCCTGTTAACCTTATAGAATTTAGTAAATGTTCTCCCACACAGCTAGCTTTTAGGCAGCAGAAATAGGTTTTATAACAACACTAAGGGAGTAAAGTGTTGCTTACAAGAACAAATTAGCTTAAAAGCCTTTAAAATGTTATTTACTATGCTATTTTAATCTAGCACTTTAAACTTGTTAGAGGGGAATTTGTCTTCTAGAAACCCTAGGACTAGCAGGACATATAGCTGCTTGTTTTAAAGTCTGTTCATAGTGCATAAGCTAAACCTAGTACAAGCAGCAAGCCCTATAAACTTAGCCTATACATCTTCCTATCTACTATAGTGTTTACAAGGAGCTTTATAATTGTCTAACTTTAGCTCTAAAAAATGTCTTATAGTGTAAAGCTAAACCTATTAATAAGCAATTTAAAATAAACAGGCAGGCTTAGTCTTACTTCTGTTAAAGACTTCTTTAGGGTTCTTAATATCTACTATTAAGCTTTATAAGAAACAATCCTACATAGCCTTTTAAATAAACTTGCTAAATGTAATAGGTGCTAAAGCTTTTATAGCTGTAGCACATAGTTTAAAGTATTTAGTGTCCTCTAAGAATATGTATATAGAAGGGATGCGCCCTTTAATAGCAAGAATTTGTTAGATAATAATGTCCTGCGCAGATTAAAAGACATTTTAAAAAACTTGTTTCTCTAAAAATAGTCTAGTTACTTTAGATCTGTTATGCAATAAATTTAATAGAGCAAGAAGTTGCAAAGTTTAGACTGTGCCTAAATCTAGGTACTAAGGCTTATATCCTTTAAGCACATTTTACTAGGTAGTGTGGATATGTTCTAGGTAACATATTAACTGCTACTTATATTAGCTTTAATAGTAATAGTAGTAAATACATACTTTATTACATTTTATTATTAACACCTGTTTTAACAACTCTGCCTAAAAATTAGCCTAAAGTCTAATAAATAGCACTAGATTGTTAAAAGCCTTTTATAAATTTCTACACTTTAAAGTTTTAACATTTACATGTTTGTTACTAAAGCAGATTATCTAGACATTAACTTAGTCTACGTCCTCTTACTTTTTATAATATTAGACATTCTAATAGATATCTTTATTGCAAAATTGCTAAGAGTAGTAATATTGTAACTGTATAGCATTTTAAGCTTTAAGGGGAAGGCCTAGAGTTATTAGTAATGTCTTAGGAGCAGATGCATTTCTTACTTTTTAAATAAAAGTCTACTACCTACTACTAATTAAAAGAGGGTAGAAACACTTTTACTACTTTAATGCAATGTCTTTCTTAAAGACATTTAAAGGTATTCTCTTCTAGGTCTAGTATCCTACTAGAAGTAGTTGTATAGTAAACAAAGTTATCTATAGACACTTCTAAAGTGCGTAAAATGCTATTAATAATAAAGTCCCCTACTAGGGCTAGGACTTAATTATTAAGACACTTACACCCTTATACCTTAAAGACTTTAATAAGATATAGCGCATGTTCTTTATTAAAGGTTTAGGTTATTTGTGTGTCTAGACTATAAAAGTACAGACAAGAGAGTAGCTCTCTAGCAGACCTGTAGTAGTGCCTGTTATAATTATAAAACTTAATTAGCACTTAAGTGTTGCTATTAGCAGAGGACATGTAGGACACACAACATAGGCATTAAGATAATTTAGACATGTTTTTAAAGAGGCTAGTTATTATTTTTAGGCAGGTTACATAATGCTATAAAATAAGATAAGTTTAGAGCAGTCTACTGCGCTTTAATTCTCGCCCCTATGCCACATTGCAACCACATAGCTTAGCTATAGCTAACAGGCACTAGCTTAAGCTTTGTAATAACTAATATAGACAGATTCTAGCAACTTGTCTAAAACTTACCTAAACTATATACTTAGCAGCCTATTCTTGTCTTCTTCTAAGGGAAAAAAAAGAGCTTAAAGATAGCGCTTTACAGTACTTATTTTTAAACAACAATACTAAAAAAAACTGCACAACGTGCATAGCAAGCCTTAGGGTTAACTATACATTCTTTAATTCTAAGAATTTTATTTTATTTGCAGACAGTAATCTTAGATTATAAATACATCCAGTGCATAACCTCTTAACTTACTATGTAACTACAAACTATTTAATTACCTAGGCTTGTCTAAACTTTTAAACAGTAATTAATATAATACTTACTTAAATTATTCTTCTAATATCTAGCACCTTTGTAATTTTTGTAGACAATTTTAATAACACTAAGCAGATCCTTAGTTAGCTTATAAGGTAGGCAACACTTAATATCTTTAGCACTCTTCCTACATGCACTTATCTCTAATTAATTATTGTTTATATAGCATTAAAAAATAAATTAACTTAGTATAATTTAAAATTAGTAACATTGCATACTTATATGTAGGGCATGTTCTTTTATATAACTATATTCTTTTTTAATAATTAACTCTCTCCTTCTACTAACTTTTACAGCCTTTAAAAACTTTTAAAAAAAGATACTAAGCTTACGTGTAATATAAAGGATAAGTCTTACTAGCTTTTTTTAGCTTTACATTTTTACAGTCTTTACAAGGCATCTTTAGGACACATTATAAGAATAATTGCGGAAGCATTTGATCTAGTTGCTGTTTGTTGAGAATACACTTTGCATAATGGAGATCTACAGCACTACATTTTTAAGTTTCTTTAGGCTGGGGTGAAGTATGCTACAGCTTATAATAATGTTACTACATAAATTGCCTTTAGCTTATTAATAGACGCTTATCCTACTAGCTACTATTATAAGTTAAGCACTTCTTTTATTATATAGACTAACTAAGATATAGCTTTTTCTCTAAAGATAATGTTTAATAAGTTATATAAAGGGTCCTGTTTAGCAGCATTTCTACTATTCTATAGACTAGGTAAGCTTGCTTAGCAATAATGTAACTAAGTTAAACAGAAATTCTGCTAGCACTTCTGCATGTTTAAGCACTAGCTTAGAGACTATAAAGGTGCATCTACTACTAAGTTACATGTAAGTATAAGTTATTTAACTAAGATACTCTAGAGCACTTTAAAGTTAAAAAATACATGTCTTTATTGCTTAGTATAGGCGCCTTAGCATACCCTTAGCTGTAGACATGCATTATGTAATACATGTGTTAAAATATTTAGAAAGGGGGTTATTAGAGAAGAATATAAGTTCTTGCTAGCTAAATGTGTCCTTTGTTAAGTTAGGTGCCTTACTATGCTCCTAAAGCCTCCCACCTGTAGAGTCTGCATTCTTAGGATTAACAGTGGGGGTATGTAAGGGGTTGTGCTGTTAGAATTTCTAATCTTACTTTAGCAGACACTTAGATCTAAATGTACATTAATAGAATTCTTTAACTTTGCTATTAGGATAAGTGCTAGTAAGTAAGATCCTTCTTACCTTCTAGCTATAACTTATACTTAAAGGTAGTCTTATTATACTCTCTATGTTTCTATGCTAGTAGGACATTAAAAAATGTTATAAAACCTTTAATAAAATAGTAAAAAGTTTTTTTTTTAGGCGCTAAACTTAATCTGTGTCTATAAAGCGTTTACAAGGCCTTCTTAAAGGCTGCATTAAAGACAGCATGTACAACTTAAAAAAACTTAAGTTCTGCTTGTAAAGCATATTTAGTCTTTATAGAATGTTTAGGACTCTAGAAACTAGACCTTCTTGACAGAAAGTAGCTGTTATTACAACTCCTATGTAGACTAGTTACGCGCACATATTCTTAAACTATAATGCAGCTAGTAATAGCTATAGTAAGTCTACTGCGCTATTATAAGAAACATCTAATAGTTAATCTAGGGTATAAGAGGACAAATAATGCTGCAATATAGAAGGCGTAAGTAAATTTATAAATCTAAGACAGTAGAGACTAATAATCTTTAGTGCAAGAGCAACAAGTGCGGCTCTAATATAAGGGCAATGCTATAAAAATTTTTTTTTTCTAATTATTAGTAGATTCTTTCTACCTATGTAATTTTAATCTAATTATGTTAGAGATAGCGCCTTAACTTATAATTACCTTGTTAAAATTGCTCTCTGTAAGCAGAAACATATATATAGGATAGTAAAATAGCTTCTAATATTATATTGTCCCTTAGAACTAGTACTAAAGAGCTATTTTAGAAACAAGAAGATACAGGCATAAGATTATAGATAGCTAAAATTCTCTTGCAGCTCTACTATGTAACTAACCTTGTTAGTACCTATATGTCTACCCTAGACAGAGAGAGAATATAGGAAAAAGTTGTAAGCTAGCAGACTAATAAGAAGGTGTATAATTTCTTCTAATTAAACATCTAGATTAATAAAACTCCTAACATAGATAACATTTCTAGTATAGATAAGCTAAAGAAAAGAGTTTAAATACAGCCTTTAAAAAAACTAAAGTGCTAAGAGATTATTTTAGCACTTTTTACATTATTATTTTACTATAAACTTAATTAAATGCTTATTTATAACAATAGTTATTATTAATGTGAAGGATCTATTTGCTGTTGTAATACTGGACAGAATGTTATCTAAGCTCTAACCTGCCTATTTTTCTTCCTACTAGAGTTTACCTTTGCAACAGGGATGCTAGCTCTGTTAAATAAAGAGGACGTTTGTTTGTAGTGCTAAAGATATAGTAAAGCTATTATTTTCTATATTTAACACTTTAGTAAGAGTATTTTAATTTGTTTTTAGACTAGCAAGCTTTAATACTGCAACCTAAGTAGCTTTTTAAACCCTCTAGTGTAGTTTATCTAGCAGCAGAAATTAGACGCAAAATTTAGGGTAGCAGATTATTATGCGCTAGGAATGTTTTATTGTTATAAATGCAATAAGGAAAGACTCTAGGGCTGTAAAAGGCAGGTGCAACAACTATATCTACTAATAAAGAAAAGGTTGTAAGTTAGATAAAAATAGAACTGTATAGCAAAATATAAGTAACTAATCTTCTTAAAATGTTAAGACATAATAAATTCTAAGAGACGCACCTAGTTCCCCTTACTTTCTGTAAAACGCAAGTTGCTATTTAATAACTTAGAACACTGTAAACTTTAAAGGCTCTTTCTAGTAAACTCTAGAGGTTATTTTAGTTAAGTAACTTCTAGGCTGCGACTACTAGCTATCTACAGTAAATCTCCCTAGGGTACTTATTAAAAGTTCCTTAAAGATAACTAAGCTAGGCTCTGTACTTTATTATATTGTGCCACCTTTCTGTTATTTATTATGTTTGTAATTAAAAAGCATCTCTAGATCCTAAGTGTTGCCTAACTTAATAATTTCTTTAAATGTATAAACCCTAACGTCCTAATATTAAAAGAGGTATACTTAGATTCTAAACTTTACTTTGTGTATAAGAGTTTTAGTGTTTCTCTAGGGGAGATTTAGGCTAGTCCTTCTTATAGCTTAGTAGATTTTAAGATTGCGGCTATTTGCAAAGAGGTCCTAAAGGGCCTGCAGTACGTCTATACTAGTTTAAACCTTTAGTATAGCTAGATTTCTATTAAGAATATTCTAATCTTCTAAGATAGTGTTATTAAGCTTAGTAAGACCTATGTTTTTTATTTATTTTTTAGACTAAAATGTCTACAGCAAATATTAGCTAAAGCATGTTAGAAAAGTAATTAGATAAATAAAAAAATATCTATAATATTAGAAACCTCTTTACACAGCTTCTTACGCCTTTAGTAAGTATATACAATTTAGCAGAGAATTTTATTAACTCTAAAAAATAGTTATAAAGAGTGTAAAACTTTTTTAAGTTAACATAGTCCTTTAAAGTCTTAGTAAAGCAGCTTCTTAAAAGTAACTTTTATTAGCTATTCTCTAGTTTAAGCTGCCTTATCCCTTATATTTAGATTACTAAAAGAACGCTTAAAGTAGATAGGGACTAGGAAATTCTTCTCCCTTAGAGCTTCTTGTTATTTCTGCACTAGAGATCTTTAGGCGTTTTCTAAACTAGCACTAGATAAATTTTACTCTAGCTTAGAACACTTAATAAAATGCTCTTAAAACTTATAAGCTGTTTTCCTATTAAAGGCTAAAAAAGCTGCTTAGTGCTAGTGTAAATAAAATGCTTTCTATTATACTTAATAATAAAAAAAACTTTTGCATTAATAAGAAGTCTTAATTTGTCTGCTTTTTTAAAGAGTGTGTTCCTCTGTTTTTAAACAAGTTCTTAATGTTGTCTTTTAGGTCCGTTAGATCTTTAACTTAACTTTATTATTTTTACTATTTAACTATTTAGGCTATTCTTTTTAACACTTAAGAATAAGTGCTAGATTTATTTTAATTATAGTAATTTATAAATAGCAATGTAATCTAGGTTAGTGTAGCTCTAGGGTTAATTTAAGAAGACATTATTAGCAGATGTTATATTTAGAATATTGCTATAAATAGTAAACTTATTTTTTAAAGCCTTTGCTAGCGTAGGCTTTTTAAGAAATTTTAAGCAGCTTATAGACTTAAGGGATGTAATTAAGAAGATTAAGTTAGTAAGAGGGATACTATATAAAGTATTACACATACTGCCTATTAAGAACGTAATCCTTTATGCTTTTACATTAATAGAAGCCTAGTTATATACTTAGGTGCTTAGTTATAAGTTAAGCAAAACTAAATCTAGGCTCTTTAAGAATACATTTTCTAATATAATTTTACAGCTAAATATACTCTATACTGCAATATTACGCAGGGTATAAATAACTTTTCTTAGTAAGAACCTCCTTACTTTAAAGGCGCGCATGTATAGCCCTAGATTAAAAAGAAGCTAAATAGGATATAATATAACACTTAGAGTCTCTGTTAAAGGGCCTTTTAGAGAGTGGCCTCTGCTAGAGCATCTTATACAAGCAACCTTTGCAGATTCTGTAGACCTATTAGATCCTGCATAGGTGTGGGTGAACACTATATTAACTTATGTTAGTATTTACTGTTTTAGTTTTATGCTTTTAACTTACACAGCGTGTAAGCAAGCGCAACTAGAGTAGGCTAAAAGTAGATATATATAGGAATTAGAGAGTAGATATAGCTAATACAGATTTATCTAGTTAGAGGGCTTAGTAGAGTTAGTACTAGATCTATATTTAGGGACTTAGAAATAGGCATGCGTGACCTCTTAGTTCTCTAGTTAAGCCTATGCGCTAACGCTTATAGATAAACTTATAATTAACCTTTACTAAAGCCCTAGCCTAGTTTATCTTAAAGAAGAGTTGCTTTCTAGCTAGGAAGTAAAAAAGGTAGAACTATATCTAAATAGCCTATTAGCTTACCTACATATAAGAATTAAATTAAGTATAAAAGGCTAATGTATAAAAAAAATAGTTGCAGTAATAAATTTTTTTAGTTTTTAGTAGATTAGAGGACTAGTCTTATAAAAAGAATAAATTTTATTATACCTTTTACACAACATTACATTTTTTTCTAGCTACTTTACTAAGATGCAGACTTTCTAACTTTAAGCAGTGCGCTTGTTTATTTATTGTGCTACTATCTATGTAGTAGTTTACAGCAAGGGACAAACACTTTAATAGATTATTAGGAGTTACTTTGTAACTATAACATGTGTTAATTAAACAGATAAGTCTTTATATAACTTACTAACATGCTATTAGAAAGCTAAGAAGTTATTATAATAGTGTTAGTTGTATACTATGTCACTCTAGTTGCGCACCTTAGTTGTTATAATTACTAATTTAGGTTAGTTTTAAACACATGTTAAGCTAAACCTGTAACTGCTAAGCTATAGCTAGTAAAGCTACAGAAAATTTCCCCTTCTTTTTTCTTTAAACTTTACGCGTATCTATAATTGCAACTCCTAGATGTCTAATAATTACTTATAACTATAGTCTTTTAACTAGGATCTTGCTAAATATTGCAAAATTAAATAGAAGCCTAGAGTTAAACTCTAGAAACACTTACTTTCTCTTATTATAAGTTTTGTAAAGTTATAATAGCATGTTATAATTACCTTTAAAAGATCCCTTTATTTAGATAAAGCAGCTTGCGCAAATAGAAAGAAAAAGTGCATAGATCTACAAAACCTTTATTTATGCCTTAATTTTAACTGTTTAAAGCTTGTTAATAACATAGTAACAGAGCTTCTTATTAAGTAGGAACACAATAACACTTCTCTAGCTTATAAGAATAATATTACTTTACCTAATAGTGTTTTTTTATTAAAAACTACACTTTATGTTAATAGTAAGTACTTCTTTGTGTATACTAAACTGTAACTTTGTGTGTGTAAAGATTTATTCTATGTGCAGTTTCCTACTATTAATTACAACACACATACAACTATAAAGCTTTCTACAATCACTACAATCCGCCAGCTTAGCGCTGGTGTACATGAAGTGCACGTTAGTAGTAGAAAGCAGTTGTATGTTTATAAGTAAGTAGACAAGCTGCTCTATAAACCTAAAGATAGCAAGGTTCTTAGTTAAGAGCTGCAGAACCTTTAGCTGTTCTATAGCACAAAGAGTATTGTACAGCTAGTAGCAGCAGTTGTCTCTTGCAATCTATATTGTACTTTTAGAGAAACTGCAGCGTACAAGGCCTTTAAAGCATACAACTCTAATCAATCTGCGGGGTCTAGTGAAACACATTAGTCCGACCAAAACACGAACACAGCTCCCTCGACTGTTCTACACAGCGTCCTTCTCAAATACCATCTAAATAGCACATTAGCAGATGCGCTACAGAGCTTACAAGAGACTCCATAAATAACTAGTACATAGCAAAGATAGAGGCTATAAATTATTAAAGCACTGTCCTATATTTATAAGCAACAGATAACATATATAGATCTTAAGCTATTAAATATCTTAATTAGCGCAGAGAATAACATAGTGTTAAGTAATGTTAGCAGAATTAGAGGCGTTACAAGGAACTATCTAGCGCTAGAGATGCTTAATGTACTAGACCTACTTGCTAAAAGCTTAGAAGCACAGACATAGAATAATATATAAGCGCTTAGCAAGATAATCTTAGATATAAGAGACGCTACATTAAATAAAATTAAAAAAAAGCAACTCTTAAAAATTATATAAGTTGCTATAGTAGATAAACCTTTATCTTGTCTATTTTTTTACTAAATTATTTCTTTATTTCTAAGCATTTAAGCTTTATAAATTAACATTATTAAAATTAAAGCTGCTATCTATGCAATTGCCTATCTAAGCGCTTTAGTAAAAAGATTTAGCAGTAACCTATTATTTCTTACCTAAACCTTCTTAACAAATACTATACTTTTTATTACATCTAGAAAAATAGCATAAACCTCTAGTAGTTTTTAAATCTTCTAAGCTACTATTACACACCTTTTTTGCCTTCTTAGCTTTATTACATGCCTTCTAAAGATATTTTGTGTAATGTCTACAAGAATAGACACAAGTTAAATATAAATATATAGCGTAATTAATTTAGTCTGTACTAGAGATTTTTAATATATTAATTAACTACTTACTTGCTAAATTCTTATTAAATAATGTAGAAACTCTACTTACCTAATACTTTAAGGTGCTAACATAGTGTTTTTTAATTAGGCTACCTTTGCTTTGTTTAAGAAGGTATAATAAGGGAATACTTATGCTTAGCTATTTATGCTAACCCCTAGAATAGGTACTCTAAATTCTAGCACAACTAAGATAGCCTAGAAGTATTAGAGAAGAAGGTATGTATATAAGAACAGTATAGTTAGCTTTGCAGTTAAGGAGGCAGGTCTTATAAAAAGTGTAGTGTACAGAGAAAAAGAGTTAAGTAGTAATAGTTTAAAACTGTCTGCTTAAAGATTAGCATTAAGTGTTATTAATAAAGTAGAGAGTTACCTACCTACTTTAAAGCTAGAATATTTTATCCCTTGCACTAGGCGTCTAGATTACATTTATAACTAAAGTTTAAATTTTTATTAATTAACTTTTATAGTTAATCTTCTTAACTTATCTTCTAGCTGCTCTATAGTACTTTTAAAAGTAGTAGTAGCTTTAGCTCTAAGTGTTCTGCAATTATTAGAAGGGATGCAGAAGCTAGTTTTTATGTAACAAGTCTAGTAGACTTTAGTTACTAGCTTGCAAAGCGCTTCTTTGCTATAACTACCTTAGGCAATTATAACTTTAAGGTAGGACATCTGCACTATTAGTGTCTTGCAAATACTGTGCAGAGCGCGCTGTTTTAAAAGTTGTAGTTTGCTAACGCTAGGTCACATGCTCCCCTTAGGTAACATAAGTTAAGCGGCAGTCTACTAGGGTGCTGCTTAAGGCTTGCTTAGTCTTTAAGTAAAGCTGCTTTGTTTTTAAGCTGCTTACATTGCAGGTTAGTATCTTAACACTGCTGCTGCCTTCTTCTGCCTAGTATCATGTGCTACTATTTAGGGAACTAGCCATCTAAGGTGCTTAAGCTAGTAGTAACTTCTGTTTAGCTCTTATAATAGATTATAGTGCTTAGGGCAAAAAGGCCTATCTTCTAGTCTACATATAGTTAAGAATAGTTATAGAGTATAACATTAAAGTTTTTTATTAAAAAATTAGGTCTCCTAACCTAATATTACAGCAGGTAACATTTAGTGTAGATGTATACTAGCGCTTAAAGTATAAGAATAAGTTAAACTTTAGCTAGCGTTTAGCAGATTATAAGCTAATAAAAAGTGCTAATGTTTTTCTAGCTAGCCTCTTAGCCTTCACGCAGACGCTTTTACTTTCTTTTTTTAACTATCTCTTTTTATATATCTTTTTATATCTTACGCTTCTTTAAGTAAGCTATAATAATTTGTAATGCTAATATAGTTATAATTACAGATAATCTAGTCTAGGCTAATAAGTAGAGGCCTAGACAGCTTTCACAACTTTTTTAATTTAATATGTAAGGATGTAGGTGTTCCTAGTTCTACTTAAGTGTTAGATTAGGTTAGAAATAAAGGTAAAATGTACTAGTTATAGTATAGCGTAATTCTAATGTATGCACAGAAACCTAGGATCTATTAGTTATTCTTGTTTCTGCTCTATAATCTCTCTCTGCCTCTTATTATCTGCCTTTAAGCTGTAGTAGTAGGAACCTTTTTAAAAATTTATTAAAACTTATAGCAGCAGTTAACTCTAAAGACTTTAACATTAAATAAATAACCCCTCTTCTAAAAGTAATACTTAGTAAAGTGTTTAACAATGTTATCTAGAATAAGGTTTACAATGCTGTTACTAAATTAACCCTTTTACTTTATTTTTTATTGTTTTTTTAGTAAACACTATAGTTTTGCAGCATAAGCAGCTTTACAAACTTAACTAAACACTGCAAATACATAGATAATGTGCTAAAGGAGGAGCTAAGGCCTATGTATATTAGGGTCTCTAGTTTTTTTAAAGCCTTCTTTAGCAAAATCACAGGCCTCTAGCCAGCAGCGTAGGCTGTGTTTAAAAGGTGTAAAGTAGGGGATAACCCTCTCTACTAGGACAAAAGCAGCTGGCAGGGCTGGCCTAAAGGGGCAAGGGAAAAGGATGTCCTAAGCTAGTTTACAGAGGTTACAGGCTAATTTATAGACTTTATAAAAGAGCACTAGCCTGCCTCTAGAACTTAATAGCAACTGTTAGCACAGCCCTATTAGCCCTTATAAAGCTCTATAGCTAACTGCAAGCTAGATGTTAGCTTTATAGATAACTTAAGCGCTAGTGTAGACTTAAAATGCTACTAGAAGTAGATTTTTATGCTAGAAGAGCTTAAAAGTAACTTATTAGCTAATAAAGCCTTAAAAGCGTAGCTAGACCTAGGGCAATATGTAAAGGAGATGCTAGCTGCTTAAAATAGTTGCTGCTTTATCCTTAGCTTTACTTTCTATAAATTACTTCTGCAGCTGTAGGAGTTTAACTAACTAAGGGGTATCACGTCTACGCAGTTTAATATTAATAAAGACAGGCTATAATTTATATTTATAGTGTTAGGGTTCCTCTAGCTAAATAAGAAGCAGCTTAGATTTAACCCTTCTATTATTACAGCTAAAGACAGTTAGTACATTAAGATTAAATAAAATAATCTAAAAAAACACCTTATTATTAATAAAGTAATAAAGTAAGCACTTTATATTACTAGCTAGGCCACAACCTGCTAGAAAGCCTATTATAAAGAAGATAATTTATAAATGCCTTTTATTATTAAAGACTTATAGCAGTTTCTAGAGCGTAAGGAGGAGAAAGAGCTGTTGCGCAAAGCAACTAACAAGGGCGTAGTTAATGTCGCAAGATACTACCACCATGAAACAGTCTGTGTAGGTAGCTAGGACAACAATATCCACAGGAACGTGCGACAAGGTCTAGACATAATAAAAGTAAAAAACTATAAACTAGAAAGCTTAATGCTGCCTTTAAGCACAGTTAGACGCCGCATCTCGCGGAAAGGCTGAAGCGCGGCCGGACAGAAGCGGTCCTTAAGCTGTACAGACGTCCTGTTGCCGCCCAGCAAGCGTACGTGTTTAAGCTTTCTAGTAAAAAGTAAAAAGGCAATAGTAAATTAAGTGCATTACTATGTTATTATCTAAGACTATAGGAAGGCTATCTATAAGGTAAACTTAAGAGTTAGGCTTCTTACTGCGCTAGAAGGTTGTATTAAAGAATACAAGTTATTACACACCTATGCTAGTATACTGCAACGCAATATCTTACTAAATAATCTTATAGTAAACAAAGAAAATAATAACCTATTATAGTGCACGTTTTTAATTAACCTTAACCTTGTAATTAAAGAGCAACAAAAAAATTATTTAGAAGCATAAAAAAAGACTAGTACATAAGCATTTATAGCAATTAAAGTGCTTCTAGACAATAAAAAGCATTTGTTTATACATAATCTAGAATTATTCTTCTAGGTGCTCTTCTAGATGTGTATTTACTATAATAGGCTAAACTAGAAGAGAGTTGTTTTATAATTTAAAAAGTAAAATTACCTTAACATAAAAAAGTTAGCTAACTTAAAAAAAGTGTTGTAGGTAATAAAAAAGATTTTCTTAGAATAGTAAAAAAAAACTTTACACTATATTATTAACTATTAATCCCTTACATTAACTAATTACAGAGGAAGGTGTTTTCTAATAGTAAGAGATAAAGAGAGCTAAACCTAAAGTTATATTTAAAAATAAAAGAAATACTCTAAACAGCTCTAAGTAACTTAAAGGAATTAAAAGGATATATACTTTATGCCTTATTAATCTAACATACTCTATCTGCCTCTAAATTTTAGCCTTTTCTAGCGTTTATATAAGATAATATTAACGTAATTCTTTATAAAATAAGGCATAGTGTGTTTTTTTATTTAATAATGTTCTATGTCTTACTATATCTCTAGAATTATTATTTTAACAGAAGAGCTTAACTTCTTTAAATATACTAGTAATCTTATTTTAAAGATTAAGAGCATAGATGCATCTAGTTTAGGCATATACATAAAAGATACACTAATAGTACAGCCTTTAGCATTTTTAGTAGTAATATACTTTAGAAAAACATTAGCATAGCTAGTCACTTCTGCATCTCTCCTGTCTTAGCGTATAGAGTTTTAAGCAGAAGACCTGTTTACTACCCTGCTACCTTACTATGCTTAAACAACTTAGATCCCTCTGCTTGCTCTCTTAGCAATCCTACCTCCTGCGCTACTACCCCTCTCCTGCCGCTATATTAAGCGTTTAACGCTGTAATATAGCTTACTTATTACGCAATTAAAAGCAAGCTTTTAAAAGTTTTAATTATTATATAAAAAAAAACTTAGCGCAACATAGATAAGAATAGCAGACCTTATAAACAAGCACAGCAGACACCTTATAGGCATAAGCATAGCAGACGCCTAACAAACAAGCACTTTAAGCATAGCAGACAATAAGCATATCAGACGTTTTAAAGGCTTAACGCTAATATTTAATAAGTTTATAATGTTAATACTATTTATTAGAATAATATATAACTTTAGACAATAGTAAGGCAGCACTGCTATAAGAAATAAGAGAATTATAAGCTGTCTAGAAGTATAGAAAATAGAATAGGGATAATTAGAACATTAAATACCTGTAGATGTTAACAGACAAGGTAGTAGCTTAGCAAAGCGTTAGCAAGGTCTTAGACACTAGATAATTAGAAGTTATGTCTAGAAGGAGTGCACAGCAGGAAGCCTTAGCGCGCAGTAATAACAGCTATATGTTCCTACTAACATTATTTTTCTAGTTACACCTACTACTCTATAATGTTATATAAAGTAGGGTATGCAATCTTATAAAAGTTTATTATCTTTTAAATGTTATTTTACTTCTTACTTACTCTATAACTATGCATGTTTAACTCTTTAGGTGGGAGTAAGCTTGTGTGTACTACTGCGTATCTCTTTTGCATAGTAACTAGGTCTAGTTTAGTCTGTTGCATATTACACTTACTATGTTTCTATGCTTATTCTTGCAGTTTCTAGGTCTAAAGAGTGCTGCACTAGTACATCCCTTATTCTTAACAACTGTAATATTTGCCCTAGGGAACAATGTTAGTATTGCTAGAAAGCGCAGTTAGTGTACTTATTTCACCTAGGTTGCCTTTATATACCTTATTAGTTGCTTAATAGCTAGAAACTGCTTAAAGACAACAGCTAGCACTTATAATGTGCTTAAGCAATAGCGCATGTACTAGTCTTGCAGAACATGCAAGCTCTAACACACTAATTACTTATTAACACCTAGTATATATTATTCTAAAGGATTATAAATATAGTATCTAATTAGACGCTACTAGCACACCTACTATAACAACTTTAAGATAATCTACTTACAGAGCTTTAAAAACACGTCTTTGCTTTTTTACTTAACAGTCTAGGCAGCTATCCTATCTTCTGCAAAAGTACTCTTAATGTGCTTAAAAAGCTGTGCTTATGGCTAGAAAATTAACATTATAGTGTATCTTACAATAGTGCGCTGTTCGCGCGATAGAGTAGTACTAAGCAGCTGTTATGTCTTATAGGTTTTTATAATAATTATGTTTAAAGCTTAGTGCAAATTAGCATAGCTAACAAAAGCTAAAAGTACATTATAATTTAATAGCATAATTCTTATATTACTAATATAGCCTTTATTAGTTGTAACTTAGATCTAGCGTTAGCTACAGTGGCTACAGCGCCCTTGCGTTCTACCTTTAATTATTACTTTATAGGCGCCCTATGTTTAAGCACTGCTAGGCGTCTTCTCTTAAAAAAGGAGGCTTTAGACATAGTTTATAAGAGCAGTAAAATAAGTAAAAAGTGCAATAGTAAAAGGGCAGACAGCAGCTTTATAAAAAGGGGAGAGTAAGAGAATAAAAGAGTGCGCGTAAAAGAGAGTAAACACTGTAGGTTAAGACCCTCTTTTATATATATATATTTATACATATGTGGACTGCGTGGGGGGGCGGAGCTTAAGGGTGTTAGAAAGGGCTGCCCAGCAGAGAGCGCTGCGCCACTGCACAATAGGCAACCACAGTGCTAGGAAGCGCGCAGGCACATCTGGACACAGTTTGCAGGCTTCCGGACGCCAGAGTGAGCGGGCGGGTCAGGGGGGAACGCCGCTATATTGGATGAGGGAAGAGAGGGCGTGTATGGGAAGCCTTAGAGTCGGTCGACGAGGTGTGGGCGTTGGAGGGGAGAGCTGGTGCTAGCTTGTCACCAAAACTATCAGTAACGTAGGACGAGGCGGGCCCGGGAAACGATACATGACATAAGCAGATTTACGATACGGGCGGCCAGTGCCGACCAGGGCTTGGCGGGTAGCGCAAACGCCCGCCGTGGAGACTTTCTATTAACACAGTGCTTATTTGTTTTCATACTAGTTAAATCTTTATATAAACAGAACAGCTATAGATAAGCTTTTTAAAAGTTTTTACTTACGCTAAAAACACTATAATCTTAGTAGAAACTTAGAAAACTATAATCTTTTATGTTAATTAAGTTTTAGTAGATACTAACACGATCTATTAGCAAAGTAGATAAAATCTTGTAGTGTAACTAACACTATAAGTAAAAACATAATTTTGATTATAACAAATGTACCTTAAAAGTGTACCAGCTACTCTACTAAAAATCTACTAAATCTACACTCTATTCTAGTCTATAATAGCGCTTTGAAGCTTTGTAAAGCGTAGTATTGCATTCTATACTATTCTAGTACTACATCTACCTTCTTCTTACACTGCGCAAGTTATGTTATATCTTATAGCACTATTTATAGTATCTTATAAGCTTATTTTTTATTACTATACAGTTTAAATTCTTTTAGAAATCTTAAGTATAGGCTATCTTTAAGTATAAAAGCACTTTTATACTATAAGTATCTACTTTCTTTTATATAACTTATAACATATAGTAGCTGTATTTACTGCCCTAAGCTTAGCAACACGCTTTTATACTAATATAAGTTTATATATAACTATTATTAGGCTTTTTAAAACTTTTTAAAAGCGTTTTTAATAACGTTTATAAGCGTTTTTAATAACGTTTATAAGCTATTTATATGCCTATAAACTTTTTTATTAAACTAGTGTTAATTATAACTTAAATTACTGTCACGATTGTGCACGAGTAAGGTTATAGAGCTTCACGGAGGTCTAGTTTAATTACTACGTGAGGTATTATAGTAGGTACAAGACGTTGTGTAAGGAATAGAAAAGTTTAGAAAGAAATTAGTAATTAAATACTTAGCTTAAAAGTCTAAGCGCTTTAAGTATAAATTAAGCCTATTCTAGGTTTATTTAGTGTTAAAGAAGTTTATGCTTAAGTTTATATCTATGTTATATTATGTTTATGTTAGACGTGCACTAATAATACTCTAGTACGCGTCTAATACAGTTATGTCTAGGATCTAGAGAGGATACTGTAACAGTACCCCCCCCTTTATTAGGAAGGGAATCCTTTACATTAGTAGTTCTAGCATTAAGTTGTCTTTATTAAAGTATAGGTTTAGTTTAAATAGGTATTAGGCATAAAATTAGGTTACTGTAGAGTTCTTTTATAGAGCTTCTACAAGTTCCTATAACAGTTTGTTGTATCTAGTTTATTTTATAAAGTATTTATAGATATGTTTCTTCTTATTAAACTAGATCTATTTAATGTCTTCTATAACATATTTTAGTTTATTATTTATAATAACAGGTTTAGGTAGCAGGTTTAGCTGTCTAAGTAGATAGTTAGATTTAAAGGCTGCTTAGCGCAGCAATAATATGTAGAACACAGGGTGTATCTTTATGCTGTTAGGTAAGATTAATTAGTAAGCATGTAATAAGACTATATAAGCTACTATAAAGGGGCTAAGGTTCTTCTAATTAAGTTTTTTTAATTATTAGTTTATTTAGATATTTCTAGCGTCTAGCTAGACCTTCTTACTAGCTACATACATAAGGGCAAGAGTTTAAAATTAGTTTACGTACTCTTATTAAAAAGCTTAAGCCTATGTAAGCTTTTTATAAACATATTTAAATATATTTTAGATCTTATTAATAAGTCTATTTACATTTATTACTTATATAAATTAATAAGTTAGTTAAGGGGTATTTAAAAGTAGTTTAAATTTTATTTAAAGGTAGTATCTATAGTTTGCTAAGAATAAGGATACTTATGTTAATTTAGATATTATGTTATTAGCTTTAAACTATGCTATAGCTAACTATTTTACTTAGTTATCTTACTAGTAGTTTATGTACACTTATAAAACTTATTTTATTATAGTGTTTATGTTCTTAGTCTAGCTGTTAGTCTCTAAGTAAAAAGCTATAAATAGATAAAAGATAATTTAAAGCTATTTACAAAGTTTGTCCTAAAAGGCTAAGACAAACTGTGTACCTTTATCTAATATAATTATGTTAGGCAGGCTATAGTAAACTTATATGTATTAGTAGAATAACTAGGCTATATTAGGGGCAGTTATAGAGAAATATAGTATTAGGTGTTAATACTTAGTTAAGTAATTAACAACTACTATAATATTTATATACTCTTTAAATAAAAGTAGGTTTATAATAAAATTAATTAATATATCTTTCTAAGCTTATTTAAGAATTAAGAGTAGTTTAAGTAGGCTATTATACTTTTTTTAAAAGGCTTTTACTTTACAGTAAGTATAGCAACAGGATACATATTAGCGTACAGTATAGAACATGCAGGGCTAGTAGTACTCTCTCTGTAGTAGGTTAAGAGTCTTTTCTCTGCCTAGGTGTTCTTTAACAGGCAAGTTATGTATAATTTAAAGTAGTTTAATTTTTAGTTTATTAAAATTAAAGATTATAAGTTAGTTATAGTAATATAGCTTACTATTTTAGTTTTTATAGTTAGCTAGTGTTACCTTTTTTAACTAACTAGTGCTGTTTTAGAGTAGGTCTAAAGTTTCTTAAATAAATTTATTATTTAGATACTTATTAGTAATAATTTAATTAATTATTTATTTTATTTTATTTAAGTTAAGGTCTAAAAATAGCTTA